AATGTACCACAGGTGGTACCCGTACCACTGGTTGAAAAGCCCTGTCTTAGGTCATATAAGTGCTTCTTGCTTTCATTAATTGTTAAACAAGATTAAGTTGGTGTCCAATACGTTTATTCATTGTTGAAATATTGATGACATTCCACATTTCAGCTGATCGTTTTTTCTCTTAGGTTGGTCATGTATGTGTGTGGAAATATTGGTCAGGGGCTGTGATAATAAAGAAGCCAGATTTGCTGCTCGTGAACCAAGTTGCTGGAACATATTATCCAATTGCCCTCATTATTTAGTTTTTGCTAAGAAAAAGCTTAGTATTATGTAGGAACTCCTGACACATTCTTCCCAAACTTCAAACCTTGGCTTAGGACTGGGATATCAGAGTCCAGCCCTTTTTTTGGGGGGGGGGGGAGGAAATAAGTACTCAACCTTTTCTGCTTCTATTTCGGGAATCAAATCCAGTAGAAAAAACCCCAAGAAGGACAATATGTAGGATGCAGCAGCCATAATGATTTTTCAAAATGTTGGCTTCTGGTTTGGATGAGCATGTAAAAATGGCTGGGTTAGAATGTGAGATTTTTACCGTAAAATCATGATGGTTTTACTGCTTGCCTGATGACTACAATACTACGTTTAATTAAAAGAAAACAGCAACTTTTCTTTAGAACTGGATATTTGTGAGATTGGGCAAAACGCTCTAGTAAAGAAGAGTTAGCAGTTCCTTTCTAATTTAGGACGAAAGGAAAGATTATGGGAAAGGATTAGAGGATTATGTAGAGCAAAGATTAGTGACTTCAAAGCAAAAAGTTAGGAAAATAAGAAAGATAAAAACAGCATAATGCATCAGAATTTCCATAAGATTGGGGTTTTTTAAAAAAATAATAATAATGGTACTCAAAAATGAATATGGTATTTTTTTATGTGTTGTTAACGAAGGGGATAATTATGTGCAAATATCCTATTTCACGTCTTACGCTGCAGCTGGGGACCTCTCCACTTCATCTAGCAGCACAGTATGGACACTATTCAACTACGGAAGTGTTATTACGAGCAGGAGTAAGTCGAGATGCAAGGACCAAAGTGGATCGGACGCCACTTCACATGGCAGCTTCAGAAGGCCATGCAAGCATTGTAGAAGTTTTGCTTAAGGTAAAAAAAAAAAAAAGTTTCCATTTATTATCACCTACACCAGAATTGAAACAGGACATACAGTGGTACCTTGACATTCATCGTTAATTGGTTCTGGGAGGCACAATGAATGCTAAGCTATTTTTTTCTGATAAGGAATAATGTAGTGCAGAGGTCCCCAACCTTTTGGGCACCACAGACCGGTTCCGTGGAGAGAGGTTTTTCCGCGGACCGGAGGGTGCGTGGTTTTGTGTGCTGCCTGCATCCCGTGGATGGAGCTTTGCTTGTTTGTGTGTACCGGTTGCTGGCATGCTGCAGCCTGGTACCGGTCCATAGACCGGGAGTTGGGGACCCCTGATGTAGTGAGTCACAAGGCAGCTGACACTGACAAGTTCTACTTTGTACGTTGAGTACCAGGATAAACGTTTCATGTCAAAATGTGTTGAATATCAAATTAGATGAGTTTCAAAGCAGTTGAGTACCAAGGTGATTACTATCTCTGTAATTGCTAATAGGCTGAAGATTCTTTTTTCTCCAGTATCTAAAGGAGTTAGTTTTTTAGAATATTTCTCAGCACCAAAGAGGCACATGGGAAGATATTTTTTTTTAATATCAAATGGAAGGATGTAGGAGAATCAATAGCACCATTTGGTGTATGTACAAAGTGGTTTCCATTTGTAGGTAAGCTGCCTAAAATCAAACCATAGGAACAATATGATTTAAATCCTATATGGCGTATTAAAACGCCTTTACATTCAAAGCCATGATCGACAATTTGACAGTATGTTCAAATAAGTTTTCTATAACAGGAAAAAAAACAAGGATAAAAAAATATAATCTCAAAAAGGACAGCTTAATTTCCCTAAGTTATGGTTTCACAATTGCCTTTTCTAACCAAAATAATTTTTCATGAAACTGCCCACCCATTTCCTGTTTCAAGGCCTTCCTTCTATTTCGCTTTCTGAAAATTCTACAGCAGCAGTCCAAAATCCTTTTACAAAATTGCTTGCACTGAAAATTTTAGACTTTCCTTTACGTTATCAGACTAATAATAGTAGTTGAATTCTTATCAACGTTATTTTTAGATGAAGAGATTTATTTCTGAAGCGAAAAAAATGACTGAAGTCATGCTGAGAGAGGCACACGAGTCACTGCACACCAGATTTTTATCTCCTGTTGTTTACTTTCCAAGATCAGCTGTTTTGAGAATGTGTCTGCCCAACAGCTCAAGGCAATAATGAATTCATTAATTACATTAATTATATCTGCAGTATATCGTCTTGGAGGGGGGGGGAAAACTGACAGCATAAACAAAGTTTAAAAGGAAGGACACAGTTTTAAAAATATATATTCCAAGCAATGCTGACTCTAAAATTAACTTTGACTGCCTCGTTCCATTTTGGAAAAAAAATTTAATTGAATATGTTTTGTAGCATGGTGCAGATGTAAATGCAAAGGACATGCTGAAAATGACTGCTCTGCACTGGGCCACGGAACACAGTCATCAAGAAGTAGTGGAACTCTTAATAAAGTACGGAGCAGATGTCCACACCCAGAGTAAATTTTGCAAGACTGCGTTAGACATTGCCATAGACAACGGATATGAAGACATGGCAGAAATTCTACAGGTAACTCAAAACTCACTCCAGCGAGGCTTTTCCCAGAATCTTGTAGCTTAATCTTTAGGCCAGTGGTGGCGAACCTATGGCACGGGTGCCAGAGGCGGCACTCAGAGCCCTCTCTGTGGGCACGCGCACTATCGCCCCAGTCCTAGGCCTTCAGCTGGGTTTTATAAAACCTTTTCGCTTTAGGCCTCCGCCGCCGTGTGCAAAAAAAAAAGAAAGGTTCAATCAGTCAATTTCAACTTCTCGCGGGGAAAAAAATAGTTCTTGCAAAGTTGGAATGGATTGATTGAACTTTTTAGTCCCACCCAGTCTGCCGTTACCACTGCAGCCATGCCCACCCAATTGGCCATGCCCACCCAATGGGCCACACCCAGCCAATGGGCCACACCCACCCGGCACTGAACGATGCATAAGTGGGTTTTGGGTTGCAGTTTGGGCACTCGGTCTCTAAAAGGTTCGCCATCACTGCTTTAGGATGTGGTTTTATATATGATTGACTCCCTGGCCCTCGATCATTTTTTTGTTTATCATCATACTACATGCCTGGCTGAGGAATTCTGGGAATTGAAGTCCACAAGTCATAAAAGGGCAAGGTTTGGAGACACCTGTCATACTATATTCCCTCTTTCTCTGGACCTTGAAGCTAATGCAATTATTCCCAAGACTGTCTGCCAGATATTTTTCCATGTTGAATATATATTAACAACAATACACTGTGCATGAGCTATTGGTTACAATAAGCTGTTGATTGCTACTCTGTCTGAAATTTAATGTGTAATTTCTGAACATCTGCTCTGTACTATATTCACCTTAAAATTCATTCCCCTTCTTTCCCCCCCCGCCCCCCTCAAATAAGTGTAAAAACAAAGCACCATTGTTTTTTTTGGTCATAGATTGCAATGCAGAACCAAATCAACACGAATCCAGAAAGCCCCGATACAGTGACGATTCATGCAGCCACGCCTCAGTTCATCATTGGACCTGGTGGCGTTGTGAATCTAACAGGTAGGAATTCGTATCGCATACAGCAGCGAGTCACATGCACCGAGGATTGCAAATTGCCTTCTCACTCTATTAAATTGGGAATCAGGTTGTGCTTTATCCATGTCAGGAGCACTTTAAAATGATAGACATACAACATTCAATACTGAGCAAGTAAAATAAGTATAAAATAGGTCATAGAAATATATCATGACTCAGCAGCACTTTTTCGTGCGGCTGCTGAGAAAAACAGGATTGCCAACATGATCGCCAACATCCGATAACGGATATAGAAGAAGAAGAAGAAGAAGAAGGAGGAGGAGGAAGAGGAGGAAGAAGAAGAAGAAGAAGAAGAAGAAGAAGAAGAAGAAGAAGAAGAAGAAGAAGAAGAAAAAGAAGAAGAAGAAGAAGAAGAAGAAGAAGAAGAAGAAGAAGAAGTAGTAGTAGTAGTAGTAGTAGTAGTAGTAGTAAAAAAACTATGTAAAATACATAGGATTAAATTTAAATGACATTCGCCCAGTATCGGGCCACATCGACAGCATTTTCTCTTGCCCGCATGAGGTCTTCCTCTGTACATGTTGAAGGACATCATAGGCACCTTCCCATGGGTGAGATGGATGGTTCTTCTCCACATTCACACAGAGTACCTTTTATAGGGAAGCCCTTTTTCTTACATTGTCCTTTGATCTTCCTACCCAGATTGCAGTTTTATTTAGCAATTTCCATACAAGCTGGCTGGTAGCTCCTTGTTGTGCTCCTAGATGGTGCTAAAACTGTATCCAATATGTCCTTTCTTTTGCTGCTGTTGCCATCTCCTGGATTGTTCGTGTAGGCTCAAACTGCATGGGATGATTTTAACACTGTCTAAAGTTTAGCTTTGGGCCCACGGTTTGATGTCAAAGCACTTTCCCTACTTGGTGGGTTGTGGGAATTCTCCATGGGTGCCACTCCATTTATTTCACTTCGGACTACTTTTGCCCCCTGAAGAAGAATAAATCTGTGCTTGCTATTGAGCTGAATGGGGTCTGTTTGATCAAGAATTTAAGGAGGGCGTCATTCTCATTTCAGATGTAATGGGCGAGTAGATTCATGTGACTTTCTGATGTGATTTTTATGGATTGTGTATTTATAGATGACAGTGGAATGTCTGCTGTCCAGTTTGGTAATTCCTCAACTTCCGTTCTGGCAACGCTGGCTGCCTTAGCAGAAGCCTCAGCTCCACTGTCCAACTCGTCAGAAACGCCAGGTGAGGAAAAAATAACATAGTTCCAAAAATACAAAAATAAGGATTCACGGTTAAAAAAAAAAAATCACGTTTGGTTTACAGCCCAGTTTTCAGCATAACCTAATACCATATTTATTTATTTATTTTATTTATTTTCATTAATTTATATGCCGCCCTTCTCCCCATGGGACTCAGGGCGGCTCACAGCATATTAAAACAATACAAAACATTTCCCCTGTAAAAGCCAATTAAAAGCCAAATATTTATAGCTGTGTCTTGTTAAAATCATTAAGAATTATCCCTATTTAAAATTCACCCTAGGTCAGTCCCGCTTGCTGAAAAAGCCATGTCTTTCATTGCAAATTTATTTTTTAAGCTTGGTGTTTTTTCTCTCGTGGCATACTTACAATAAAAGCAGACTTAAGCAATGAAATTTCTTTAAACCGGTAACAAAGAGAATGAAATTAAACGAAAATGAAGGAGATATTTTTTTTATTCCCACGAAGAACGTTAGTGGATTGTCCGTTGTGTTCTTTTTAAGACAAATAAGCCCTGATATGGTTGTGACTTCTGAATTTGCTTCCTTAAGCAGTGTTGCCTTCTTCTGCAGTCTGATCTGCAGGAAGGAAGATCAGACTTCTACGCAGAGCAGGAAAGCCAACTGCCTTGGCTTGGATCCCTATTTGCTGTAAAGAAATATATCAGTTGACTGTTCTCTCTTTGGAAGCTTTGAGAGAGGGACAAAGCATTGACAGTAAATATTGTCTTTGTTTTGTTTTTAAAAGGAGGTCTTAGATCTCTCTCTTATCATTTGAGATTGACCCCTTGGGTTAAAGGAGAAAACCTGAATCATGTTTTGTACACAAATGTTTGTGACATGTTGATTGCGGCATTTATGGAGGATTGTTTCATCTGTGTAAAGATCACAGTGGGGGGCCTTTCCTCCTGAAAATATTCCTGACCTCAATTCATTGAAAGCTTCTGTATCGCCTGCTCCTGAGTGGCTGACACGAGGTCAATTAATACAGGACAGTGCCTGCCCACAGGCTCAGAGAAATGAGAAAAACAAGCCCATATACAGAACGATTGGCTAGAATGGAAATACTCCAGGGAGGTAAAGGAACTGATTCTTCAACACAGCCTGTTGTGTTTCCTGCGTGTCCCTTTTTTGCACCCTGATGGCAGAAGCTGCTGCCAGGTGACTGTTGAGGAAGGGACAAGGCAGACAAAGCTAATGAACAATCCTGCAAGCCCATAATTCCCTCTAGTAAATCATGGTGCAACTGGGAATACTTCTTTATGATCATTTACTTTCCAGATTTGGTAGAAAGGACTAACTGACTTTGTTGGCCGTGTTAACACCAAGAAGTTCTCTGAGGTTCTGGGAGTCAGCCATAGCAAGCACGTTTATATGTGTCTCCGTTATGGCATAACTTTGTTTTTCATAAAATCCTGAGTTTACCGTTATTCTTTCAATAATGGTAGAAATATGCCACAAGCAAGAATTGCAGACCGCAGTTGAGTAATAACATCCCTAAGTAAGGAAGCAATCATGGCAAAGATGAAAGCGTCCAAATTTTATGCGACGTCTGACATTTCTGTCACAAATCATATGCCATAGCTTTTGAAAGAAAGCTTTTTTTATTGTCCATCTGATTGTTAATAAGCTTCAAAGGCTTGCTCTTAATATAATGTTGCATGCATAGAGATGTAGCTCTTTTTTTTTTTTTTTTTTTTTTTAAGAAATTTTATTTATTTTTTTCCATCATAAAAAACAAACATAAGTAAACACAGTAACCAATCAAAAATCCCCCCCCCAGACTTCCCAAACCTATCCCAGGATAAAATTCGTATAAAAGTAAACAAATACTAATATCTCTAACTCCACAAAGTATCTTAATCTATAAGAAGAAATAAGAACCATAAGCAAACTTAAGAAAAGTCTAGAAACCTAAATTATATTCTACCACTCTGTGTTTCTTTTGAATATAAACGATCCATCTTCTCCATATTGATAAAAATTGTTCATTCGAGTGGTTCTTCAAATAAGCCGAAATCTTTGCCATTTCAGCAAGGTACGAAACTTTCAATCTCCAGTCTCCCATCGTGGGCAGAATTGGGCTCTTCCAGTTTTGGGCTATCAGCAATCAGAGATGTAGCTCTTGAACTGATACCGGTAGTGATATACTTTATATTTTAGGTTCCTTGTGTTAAAACCTCAGAGAAGCAGCAAAAATGAACTCCACAAATTAGAGTATGAATTTCCCAGAGCCAGAGGAAAATTAATAATGAGCGTTAACGTGGTATCTGAAAGTCACATAACATTATTTGTTTTTCTGTTAAACTCTTTATGAATTTGTGCAACTTGTATTTTACTTGTAAAGAATTTGCTGGGTTAAAGGAATTTAATTTTTGGAACTTCTAGAGGTACCTGATTTCCAATATTTGGTGTGAGGTATATTGCATAAGTAATCAGAAAGGAAACACTAAGATATAAGATTGACGTGATTGTTAGGGCTATTTCTGCAAAGCAGTAAACTCACAACTTTTGCAGAAGTGTGAAATAATTTAGCAGAGAAAAGATGGGGAAGAGATTCTTCCCCAAAACCTAAGTGAGGATGAGCATGTTCAGTTGCATAGAAGATGGACTGGCTTTCTATGTGCTGATGGGGGAAAAAATGGAACAGAATGGTATCTCTTATAAAAGATACTTATCCTGACTCCATTGGAATAACGAACAAAGAACAGCCCATACTGCCACATTTTCATGAGATCCTGCCTCTAATATTTTTTTTAAAAGCAAACTTGCTTATATATGTTTTATTTATTTGTTTGTTTGTTTGAAAGTTGTGGCCACAGAAGAAGTGGTGACCGCTGAATCTGTGGATGGTGCAATTCAACAAGTAGTTAGTTCTGGAGGCCAGCAGGTTATTACCATAGTAACAGACGGGATACAGCTTGGAAATCTTCATTCCATTCCCACCAGCGGAATGGGTCAACCCATTATAGTGACCATGCCAGATGGGCAGCAAGGTAAGTAGAAACCAGGAATAGAACTTTTAAGACCTTTTTTTTCCTGAAAAACATATATTGTAATTTAATTATTTTATATCCTGCCGTTATTATTTTTATAGACAACTCAAGGTGGCAAAACGTATCTAATACATCTTCCTCGTCCTACTTTGTTGGTTAAGTTAAACTTAATATTTATGAAAGCAATTTAGAGAAAACAGATAATGAAGAATAGGATTGGGTGGAATGTAAAGCAATGTGGAGGACACTTATGGATATGTCTTAGACTCAGTTTCCAGAACGGGGGGGGAGGGGGGAAGAGCTCCACATTTTACAATCACATTTCTGCCCATGGAATCATGACATAACAAAACTAGGCAGGACAAGAAGCAACGGATGGAAACTAATCAAGGAGAGAAGCAACCTAGAACTAAGGAGAAACTTCCTGACAGTTAGAACAATTAACCAGTGGAACAACCTGCCTCCAGAAGCTGTGAATGCTCCAACACTGGAAGTTTTTAAGAAGAAACTGGACAGCCATTTGTCTGAAATGGTATAGGGTTTCCTGCCTGAGCAGGGGATTGAACTAGATGACCTCCAAGGCCCCTTCCAACTTTTTTTATATTATTATTATTATTATTATTATTATTATTATTATTATTATTATTATTATTATTACTATTACTATTATTACTATTACTATTACTATTATTATTATTTATAAGGGCTATCACAACTTAAACATTCTGAAGAGTTGCTTCAGGATTTCCTGAATCATATCCCCTCTCTTTGTTCATTAAAATAGCCACATCTTTTAATGGTTTTATTATTATTTTAACAATAACTTAAGGTGGCGAACCTGTCTAATGCTCCTTCCTCCTCCTGTTTTCCTCATAACAACTACCCTGTGAAGTGATTTGGGCTGAGAGGGAGTGTTTTCCTCATAACAACTACCCTGTGAAGTGATTTGGGCTGAGACTGGCCTCAAATCGCCCACCTGGAGCCTGAAAAAAAAAAGATGCGGCTGCTTTAATGAATCGACTTAAGACAGTGCGGCCGGGCCGTTAATGCAACCCTTAAAAATGATGGATGGGAGTTGACTTTAGCAAGAGAGTTAGGCTAGATGGCAAGTTCTCTTCCAACTCATATATTCAATAAACATTTTTAATTACTTTATCTCCTTCTATCCCAGCATCCAAATGCATCCACTGTTAACTGCTATAGTTTTTGATCCAAACTTATTTCAATTCAAGTACTTACAGTACCAGCCACAGACATTGCAGAGGAAACAGTAATCAGCGAAGAGCCTCCACTCAAGAGACCATGTATTGAGATCATTGAAAGTCGGGTGGAATCGGCAGAAATAGAAGTAAGGAATCTGTTTGTTAAGATGTTTTATTCTGATTTTCTAAACTGAATGTTTTTTTTGGGTTGTCTTGCTTTATAATTGTGATTTTTTTTTGGTACTTGAAGACAAGTACACAATAATTTTGTGCCTATACACAAGAATCTAGTCAACTAGTGGTCAGCATTAAATCGGTTCTAGATAAGAGTTAACAGAATTCAAGACAGGTGGGACTTTTAGACCTTTTGTGAGAACGTAACAATTCCAGGCTAATTCCTCTTTTGACTCTAACCCCAGGTGCTGCCTGTTCTTCTTTTACATTGTATTAGTGCCGTTCAGCTGGGATAATTTGAACATATGTATGAAAGAATTTGAAATAATGGGCTGAAAAAAAACACCTTTTTAAGAATGATAACAAGATATTTAGGTAGATGGAAATCCTGTTAAACTCAGTTAGGCTTGGAACATGGTTAGTATTGTGCATTAAGAGAAAGTAAGAGAGATTGAGTTTTTGCCCCGCTATTTCGTTGCAGTAAAGCCATGGACGATGCTTTTAGTACTATCTGTGGAAGGACTAACATTCATTGGTTAGTGAAAGCATGGAGGTTTTTAAAAAAGCCTTTGCTGTGTAAAGGTCAGAACAAAGTGATTGCTGAGATAATTATTTTAATAAAGCAGGTATGCTGCTTTTTACATCAGTTTATTTAAAGTGCTTCAGAAGAAGGAAATAAATCACTTGCTTTGAACTCAATTTGTTTTTCTTTTTTTAACTACAAAGTTGTTCTGATTCATCAAATAAAAACACTAGATGATTTTGCCTTTTTTAAAAAATCAAGTTCCAGCAGCATCCTTTGAAAATACAATGTATGGTCCCACACCAATGATATATTCTATGAGTAGTCTCTTCTCTCAGATGTTTTACTGATATATATCTTATTCCAAGAAGCAGAATGTGTATACATGATTCAATTTTTCTTATTAGACTTGAAGTTTAATATTTATTTAGGTGGCTCTCCAGTTCTTAAAACTGTAGGTTTCCTTCTGAAACTTAACCGTGAGCCTATCTTGTTTTAAATAAGTTGAGGAGTTACCATTCTTGGTTTGAAGAAATCCAGACAATCAATGGAAAACTCATTACTGCCATGGATTTTTGCAGCCAAAATTAGCCTTTAACTGGCAGAAAGTGGAATTACCTTTGTGCCCTTTACTTCCATTTTTAGAGAATCTGGAAAAGCAAACCTTGATAATTAACCCAAGTTCAGACTAGAAAATGTTAATAATTTAAAACAATAATGCTTTTTATTTTGACTTGATTGGTAATTGTTAATTTTATTTTCTTAGTTTGGAGGCACTGAGACTATGCTTAGTAGAAGACTTCTTGCTGTGTATATTTATTAGAATAAAATTTTAGTAAAGAAGTATACTATTTAGCTAGTGTGTGTGTATGTATACTCCTACTGTACATCTTTATTAAACAAAAGGGAAAAAAGCAAAACAACACACACACACACACACAAATGGAAAAATCTCACCATAGAGTTTCAACAAACAAGCATATTTCTTTGTAATTGTCCATATATAATCTACCTCTCAAAGTCAAAATAATACATGTAATTATTTCTTTCCCAGAATATAACAACTTTAGGACATCTCAGAATCACGTGTTTCCACGTGGCATTTATACAAGTGGTACTTGATTTTTGATGCAGGCATTGTTTTTGTACAACACATTAAATTTCAAACTGCGTTTCTACGTCCCGACTCCCAAGAACATCTAATTTGCTCCGTCCCCAAAGTTCTTGCATCTTATTTTTTCACCCGTTGAGAATTTTTTTTAAGACAGTTATAAAAACTGTCATTGACTTTGAGATGACACGATGTTTGTTTTGTTCATTTTTGACTTTCATAGGAAAGAGAGACGTTACAAAAACAGCTGGATGAGGCCAACCGAGAAGCCCAGAAGTACCGCCAGCAACTTCTGAAGAAAGAGCAAGAAGCAGAAGCTTATAGGCAGAAGTTGGAGGCGATGACCCGCCTCCAGACTAACAAAGAAGCTGTTTGAGTGGATGGAAGTGAGCATTCTGTTATATTACAGGTTAAGAAAACTGCAGTACAATCTGGGTCTGCACAATGCATAGGGGTGCAGAACTGAGTCCTTTGTCAGAGAAGATGCTACTGGACTTAAGCCATGAGCTCTGGTGATTTTCCTGTATCATAAAAAAAACAACCTCAGAATTTAGACATTTTGTGCAAAATATTTAAAAAAAGAAATACTGTAAATAGTTTTTTTTTTACAGTTCCAAAATTAATTGTTTAATCTTTTTGGAAGGGATCCACAAACCTACAATGCCAATGTTTTTGTGACTTTTTGTTTTGATTTTACTATGAATCTTCTGAGATAAAGAACAGTTTTAAGGAGGATAATTGTTGATTTAAACTGCGCTATGTAAATGAATTATGTGATAGAAACGAGCTTGAAAGCTACGAATTAGATCTCCTGACTAAATTCATTTCCTGATTATTATCCTTTGTACAGCTTTAAGTAGTTGGCCAAGGCCTCTGAACAATGCCCCCCTTTTTTAGGGAAAAAAAAGTGTAATTTTTTATATTTAATTCCTGATATATTCAAGTAGATTGACATGTATATGAAGCTGATATTTTTAAAAATTTTCAGTTTGTACATATGCTGCATGTTTTTTTATGATTTCTATATACATCTTCCATACGTATTTTTCAGGAAAGAGGATGGAAAAATTATGAGAAAAAAAAATATTTAACCTCTAGGCCGGGAGCAGGCAGCTTCTGCAACTTTACGACTTGTGGACTTCAACTCCCAGAATCCCTGAGCCAGGCTCAGTAATTCTGGGAGTTCAGGTCCACAGGTCATAAAGTTGCTATAGATGCCCAGCCCTGCTCTAGGTCATGGGGCTACTAGGGGATAGAAGAAGCCGGTGAATAACTGTGGGTCGAGTGTTTTTTTTTTATATATTGGGAACCACATTTCTTAGAGGGATGTAACTTGGGAGAAGAAAAAAGAAAACAGAAACCAGTATTTATGTAATATATTAACTATATGAAAATATTACCCTTAGCGCAGCCAATCATATTTTCAAGGTGACCAGCCCAAGTTGGGCTGGGATAATTCTGCAGATGGAGAACAAATTTCAAGTTCTTTTCCCAAAACTTTTAGGCTTAGTCTTTCCCCTGCTATGCTACTACCTGCTGGACAGGATGTTAACATTCACATCACAGCATCCCTCCCCCCCCCCAATGCAGACATAAGATGCCGTAAAGATAATAGGCTGATATCTGGAATTGGAATCCAGGCTGTCCTTCAAGAAATTTGTAAGTAAATGGCACCATTAAGTGTCCATCTCCTACAATACCTTTAATCTGACTGACCAACGACAGCAGGTGCCGATGATCAGACCTCCTAAAATAGTACAGGATACCTGACCAACAAAAGGTTTTATCGCCTGCTAGTGCTGGTCAAAAAGGGCGTGGAAGGAGATAACTTGAAGACGTAGGTCTGGAAATGGCATCTCACCACACTTCTCCAAGGGGACATCCCTCAAGTCTGAAGGTCATGAGACCGGAGAGAGGGAATTGGGCAGCAAGCTTTCTAAGTGACTCTTCGCACTCCTTCTTTTGAAGATTGTGGCTGTTGTATATCAATAGCCTAAAACGCAAGAAAGTTGGGCACTATTACTCTTTCACAGTGTTCCCACTCTGGCTGCAAAATGGACAGGAGTCACAGGAAAGTCGGACGTCCTTGCATGCGTTTTATCTAGAGCCACCTAAGTGAAGTCCACCTTCTCTTGTGTTCCTGCTCTTCCGCCGCTCCTGTGACCTTTGCCCTTTCTTCTTCCAACAAAGCTTTACAGAAGAAACGCTCCTTGCTCAATATTTGTGCCCGTCGTCTCAATCTCAACAATCCAACTGATAACACAGATAGATGCACATAATTTTCACTTGTTTTAGCTGCACAACATTTTAAGATTGTCCGAATCATGACTGACCTCTAGAGGCAGCTTTGTGTGGCCGTTTGGTTGTTGCTTCTCTTGTTCTTTTGGACAACTCTGATTATGTTTAGATTTGCGTGGTCTTCCGGTTCTTAGCATTTCCAGCGCATGGTGTTTTAAATCCCTCCGTTTAGTGTCTATCTCTCTCCTCCCACCCCCATCCAGGTTTGTTGGCATTCAGCGTCCACATTTGCTAACCAGCATGATCAGCGGTTATATCTGCTGGAGATTTATGCAGAATTCGAAGTCTGCCATGATTGAATGACATTGAATTGTGAAGGAGTGATTTAGGTCTGTACGGTATTGTGATAATATACCCAGGAATTGGAGGGCAATCCTAAATACCATTACAGATGAAAAGTTCACTGTTAAAAGAAATAAGTTTGTTTTAGGCCCTAAACTTTAGTATATCCTTAAAAAAATAGGTAAGTAAGCACTTAATCCCTACTGGACTTCAGGCCAGAACAAAGATTTCCTAGCTGAGATCTGCTCTGCAGATGGAAAGGAATGAAAGGTAGATATAATTGTAAATGGGATTTGAATACAAAGAGAAAATAAATGGATTCCACCCCCCTACACACACACACACACACACACACACCTTGCCTTGTGTGAGCTTTATACTTGCACTCAGGCAAACGTAAGGGAATATTTATAAAAATGTTATTTCCTTACTTGTCAGTCACAGTTGATATAGTTGGATCTATCTTGCCTGCTGCAAATGTTGACTTACACGGGGCCACGAACATTCAGACACGTGTTGGCTTTCAGATAACTCACAGACCATACTGCCTTAAAGATTACCAAGTGCTACAATGTTTTACGCTTTGTTCAGACTTCTGTGCATCTCCTTTATTTCCACGTATACCTTGTATTTTGATTTGTGCTTTGCTGTGTTTTATCTTTCAGTGCTTTTATGAAACGTATATCTTTATAAATCATTTAGATTACCTATACAGAAGAATTGCCCTTAAAACTGTCTTTGGCCTACCTTTTCTATTTACAATTAAATATCTTTTCCACAGATGCAGGGTTGATTCACTTATTTGGCAAAACGTTATCACCACCTGGCTGGTTTCTTTGATAGCGCGAATTGTTATAAAAGGTAGCTAGATGGCCACTTGGGTTTTTAAGAATGCCTTAGAAACATGTAGAGAAATACATGGGCTGGGCCATAGCTGCATCAGCATCAGTATTAGAACAGTTTCAAAAGTCATCTTTACGTACCTGGGTTTGGCCAGAAGATATATGTGCTCATCTGAACTATGCGTTGCCTTTAATATTTGTCTAGTTTTAACTTTGACAAACTTTAATATTTGTCTAGCGATGGGTTCTACATTGGAGATTTCCACTCTTAAATCGTCGAAGGACAAAATGATTCTTCGAATAAGGTGTCATAATTTGATATTTTATAATATCGGCGTTGTTTTAAACTAGAAAATCAATCGCCGAATTTAGCACGGAGGCTCAAAAATGTGAAAAGTTTGGGAATAGCTCGAAAGGGCCCATGTTCCAGTCTCTCACAACTTTAGGTCAATCCATTTCAACAGAAGATTTTGTTGATTCTAACAATAGTTGCACTTTTTGCCATTCCCAGCCCATCACTTAACGTGAATAATAGCCATAATAAAAATGCGCAAAATGAAGGAAGTCATTGAAACATTTCAACCTGGTGTTGCCATCAAAAGTATCCGCACGTGGGAAGGATGTTGAAATGGAATCATCTTTATGCTGTGTCAGCTACAAATGTTGAAGCAGCCCCTGTATTTAAGAATAAGGAATTGTTAACATATTTAGCAACAGGGTATCGGTAAAATGAAAAAGGTACCGTATTTTTCCAGAATTGATTTATTACTTACATATTACTCCGTTTCCAGAAGAAACTTGAACAGCTTCTGAGTAACAAGAATAACTCCTGCAAAATCAACCCAGGTTTTTCTTCTCCTTTGTCAGCAGATGTTCAAAAAGATACCAAATTGAAGGAGTAGGGTTGGAAAAAAAAAAAGGCCAGGTAAGTTTTGTTGGGCATAGCAATTAAGTTTAAATAGTGGATCCATGTGGGTGAAAGAGAACTTTCCTTTCAACTTCTAACCTATTAAAATAAAGCTAAGTTGCCTAAGCATTTTTTTTTTTAAAAAAAACCCACAATTTCAACAAATAGGTAGGCTAGTCAGAACAAGTTTAACCTGCCTGCCAATCATTAGTTACGGTTTTGGAATGTCTGTATCTGTTAACTCTCATAAGTGCAGCTTTTGGGGATTAATACACCTTAATTAATCAGAACTTGAGCTACCAACCCATATTGTCCTCCAGGTTCAGCATCACAACCTACTTCGGCGCTACAACCATTTCTGAAATGGAAAGGAAAATTTATCAAATCCGTCAGAAATGAGAGAGCTGATTCAGTAATGATTTAGACCAACGAATACCTATTTCTCCAGAGAGGTTGAGCCATTTGTGACACATGATGTTTTTCCCACGGTTGTGACGACATGGCTTCTCTTAGCCCTTAACCAACCTACTATTCCTATTCATTCCGTTTCCTGCAGGTAAATATATTTTCAGTTTAGTTTGCTTCCCACTGGGTGCAAGAGGAAGGTAACTATAACAAAGGAGTCATTTGCATCAAATCGTATTTGCTCACTCTGCCATTTCAAGTTCTCCAAGTGCTTTGTTTCCTGTCTGAACACAGTTTGGAGTGTGTTTGCTCACCTCTTCAATTAGTGTGCCATTTCGGAACTAGCGAGGCAAGATAAATAGTAAATTTGATGATCTATGACTTCCATTTTGAAACCTTTTGAAAGGACCAAGAGGAAGCCGGTTTAAGCATGAAGTACTTTCAGCGATCAGTTCTGAATTTCAGAAGTGGATTTTAGACTGTTGCTCCAACCTTGTTCCCCCCCAACCATTTTTACAAAAGTTATGAAACATTTCTAGATCCATTCTCACCTGGATGTCTTATCTGGATGCTTGGTGAAAGTCAAGTCCAGTCTTCTGCTAAAACACAATAACCCTGCCTTTTATTAGCAATTTCTATAAAGGTGCTAATGTTTTTATTACCCTACAGACAAAGAGACAATTCTCCAAAAGAACCCTATATTTTTGTCCATTGCATTTGTGTGTAAGTGGAGTGTGTAAGTGGAGCATAACATTGGCACGAACATAGGTGAAGCCAAAATCTGAATTCCCTTCCCCTGAACATATTAGTATCTAGCGCAAATCCCTGCTCTAATTAACAGTTATAAATCACATTCTCCAATTAATTTGAAACGCAGGTTTTCCTTCCAGTTCTCCAACCCGCCATTTCTTATCATCTCTTATTTCACAAAACCTTGCCTCTCATACTACTGCAATATTGTTATGTCTAACTAATTCCCATACACATTCCTCCCCCCCCCAGTATCATCTAATTCTAACTCTTAAGAGTAAAACATAAGAAGGAAAATGGCTGCATCTCCATATGTTGTCAAAGCAAGAACATCCGATGTTAGGAGCGTTGACACCAGCTTTGGGAGCCTTAGTGTTATCTGGACTCAGGCAGTTGTGGTTTACGAACTAATCTTCATCTGCTCTGTGAGACTGGTCTGCAACCTTAAGTTAAGGTTATATACAGCCACGAAACAAACTTGCCTTAAATAAAG